CTATGCGGACAGAGCAGCATGGGAAAGTCCCTGAAGCACAAAAGAGTATGGTGAATCTGAGGAACAGAAAGCCCAATTCTGACAGGGCTTAGAGAACAAGGGGAAAGAGGTGTGTGTGACATGAAGTCCAGAGACTGGGCAGAGGCCAGATGGCAGAAGGCTGGGGCAGCCATATGGGGGTGTTTTAAACCTTGTCCTAAGGGACCAGTGGGATGTCATTGAGGGGTTTTAAAGCAGCAAAGTGACCTGCTCAAATCAGTTAGCAGGTCAATCTGCCTGGAGTGTAGGGTATGGATGGGACAGGCTCAGGGGAAGGAGCCAGGAGACTAGTTGGGAAGCTGTTTCAATAATCCCGAGGGTTGATGGAAGCTTGGACTAGGGTAGAGGCAGTGAAGAGGTGAGAAATGCAGCATCCTTGTGCCCTGTGTACATTTAACAACTATATGCAGCACTATCTCACTTTTTTATTTTTTTTAAGATCAACAGTTTTATTGAAAGACAAGAGCAGAGCCCCTCCTCTCCCCCTGAGGTCCTGGCAGCATTGGCCTCAGGCTCTGAGCTTCCATGTGTCCTGCAGCTGGAGAGAGCGCTATCTCATTTTTGTATGTAGTTGAAAATACTTTAATGTTATATTGTATACCCTATTATATACTGTACATTACTATACACTGGCTTATACATACATACTTGCACATACATTTTGTTTACAGAGTTGTGCACACAAAACCATGGCTGCTGTATTTTTTTTTTTTTTAACTTTTGGCCCCATGGTGCGGCATGAGGGATCTTAGTTCCCCAACCAGGGATTCAACCTGTGCCCCCTGCAGTGGAAGTGCCAAGTCTTAACCACTGGACCGCCAGGGAAGTCCCATGACTGCTGTATTTTATGAGGGATTTAAGGGATTTCCAAAGGTTATGTTGACTATGTAACTTTTGCCTTATGTACTGACTCTAGAACCTAACCTTGGTATAAGGTGCAACTCCATTGTTGCTGGATATAAGAGATACTTAGGAGATTTGGTGACTGATTGGAATAGAAGGGAGAAGGACTAATTAAATGACACTCCCAGGTCTGCTGCCTAAATAACTGAGTAGATGGTGGTTCTGTTTATTGAGATGGGATTCACAGGGGTAGGGATAGTTGGAGGGTAGAGATGATGAGCTCATGTCAAAAATGCAGAAAAAGGTTGACAGATTGAATAGTGAACACCCATATGCCCACCACCCAGATTCTACAGGTCACTTACTGCTACATTTTCTTTTTCACATCTCCCCATATCCAGAGGAATTCATTTTTGAACAAGCTGAATCTGTGCTATCTAAGGGACTTCCAAGTGTCGTGTTTAGAAGGACATTCAAAGAGCAGGCTACACATGCTGCCTCCTCTTTTTCACCTCCCATTCACAATCAATTCCCTAGAATTTGGCTTTTGACATCTTCCTCCTGAAGGTGCTTTTCACTAAGGACGCTGACTACTGAGGACTCCAAAACTGAACACTTATCATCCTCCTGTAAAACTTGCTCCTCATCCTGCATATCCTTACCCAAAACTCAAACTTGGGAGTCTTCCTAGACATCTCCTGTAGCAAACAGCTTCTGTCAATCCCATCTCCTAAATGTCTTTAAAAGGTGTCCCTTCCCTTTTCATCCTCTCTCTACCATTAACAAAGTTCTGGATATCAGAGTTTCTCAGTTTTATTGATATTGAAGAACTACAATTTCAACCTCTGAACAGGTTCGGGTCTCTACCCTCTCTCCAGCTCATCTACTCCTCTCCACTTGTCTGTCCATCTAATTTATCTTTTTAAAAAATAAATTTGTTCACATCACTTTTCTTTTACAACCCTTTATAGGTGCTTATCCCCAAGTTGGAGTGACTTCTACAGTGCTTCAAGATCTTCCAGAAAGCCTGAAATTTCCAACCTCATGCCTAGCTACTCCCCCACACTGTTTTTACTATTTAGTGGCTCTTCAAATATACCAACCACACTTCCTGCTTTATTTCCTCCTCCAGAAGACCTACTTGAAAGCCAGGCTAGGTGGCTCCCAAAGAATCCCGAGAATACCTATCATTAGATATTCAGGTCTCCATAGAGCTAAAAATCCTTGAGGGCGATTTTTAAATATTCTTTATAGCCAGAATACTTAGCACTCTGTTTAACACAAACATACACTCTGTTTACTTTAGCTGAAATTTGCATACACCCAGTGCTTTGTTCATCCTCCCTTTCCCTTCCAGCAAAATCCTACTCAAGCTCGCATTCCTCCACAAAGCTTTCGCCGGCCCCTCCAAGTAGTTAGGGTCTCTGACTCCTTTATCTGAACTTAGTACATTTTATTTTACTTATTTTTTTCTTCCAGTTTTATTGAGATATAATTGACATACAACACTGTATTGAATTTAATATATTTTAAGTTTTTCTATACAACGAATTGCCGTAAGTGTTAACACGTTCACCATTTGGTAACTAACAGCAATCCTATCCATGCTTCGGGGCTCTGTGGAAAGCCACCTTCTCCATTTAATAGTACCCCGATTCCTACAGATAATTACTTCTTTTAACTCTCAGTTCCTGATGCTTATATCTATTTAGCACTTGATATTCTTTCATGATAGCTGCTTACTATTGCTTTCCTGGTTTCCTTCCTCTCCTCCCCGGTAGACTGTCAACTCCTCGGGGCTGGGACCGTGGTCCAACTCGTCTCGGACTCCCTCTCCAGACTTGGCGGGGCGCTTTGCAAATGCAGTACGAAAGCTCTCCGGGAAGCTCCTGGAGGGACAGAGCCCGTTAGTGGTGCCTCTGCCGGCGGAGCTGCCCGCCCGTCCGTCCACCGGCCGGGGCTCCGCCCCGCGAGCTGGTTTGGACCAGTACACCGAGGGCGGACGAGCGCACGGGGTCGGGGAAAGAGGGCTCCCTGCCTCTGCCAGCCCGGT